ACTTGTCCCGTCGGTGGTCCCCGCCACTTAGTCCCGCCGGTGGTCCCCGACACTTAGTTCCGTCGGCGGTCTCCGACACTTAGTCCCGCCGGTGGTCCTCGACACTTAGTCCCGCCGGTGGTCCCCGACACTTAGTTCCGTCGGCGGTCCCCGACACTTAGTCCCGCCGGTGGTCCCCGACACTTAGTTCCGTCGGCGGTCCCCGACACTTAGTCCCGCCGGTGGTCCCCGACACTTAGTCCCGTCGGCGGTCCCCGACACTTAGTCCTGCGTGGCCCCGGGTGCCTTTCCCCAAGGTGTCCCATGCCCCTTGGGCGTCTTGTCGCCCCATAGCGACCCCTCTCCTTAGTCTTTTCTCGCACCTTGTGCGTGCCGATCTCTTTGGTCGTGGGCCTCCGCTCCGAGGCTCCCGTAGGTGGCCCCCACGTTGGCCCCTCATTTCCCGGCTTCCCGCGGCTTCTGGCCGCCCATCCCTCGACTTCCTCATTCCCTTATTGGTGTCGCGCTGCAATCGTTAGTTCAAAAGACCCCTTGGCGTTAGTCTTATTGCATTCCGATGGCCCTCCCGGCCTCCTGCTATGTTCTATTTGCCCCTGTTCTTGCGCTCGCTCGCTTGCCGCCGCTTAGTTCTTTTTCCCTGTGGTTCTCGCCCCAGGGCATTACTCTCTCCTGCGACCTAATCCTTTATCTCGTCTCACTTCGGATTTCTCTGTTGTGCACAGTTCGTCCATATTCGGTCTCTCGAGTGATGGGAAGTTATTCATGACTCACCAGTCCCGACACATTCCCCCCACTCTTTCTCGATGTCCTCATCGCGCATCAATCTCTTGTCAGTGAGTTTTGGAGGGAATAGATGAGAGAGAGAGATGAGCTGTTATGGATGGTTAGTTTGCCAGGGTCCGTTTCGTTCTTTTCCTATTCCTTTCTCAATGTTTTTCTTAGCTTCAACCCCTTGGGGTAGAGGAGGGTATGGGGGAGTCGAAGGTTCTACAACTTAGACCAGGTTGCTCATTTCCGTCATAGCTCTGCCTCTTTATCTTTCCCTCAATCGAGATGTGAACTTCCTCTTCAGTCAACTTGGTATCCCCAGCAGGGCAGCCCATAATTCTTTCAACTTCAGCAACATGAAGCAGACGGGACTTTCCTTGCTTTCATGCACTTAACTACTGGTATGCTGACTTTATTCCCATGATGACAATTTGTTGTCATAACACAATTGGTTTTCTCATTTTATGCCTTAGCATCGTTGATAACAAATTGTAGGCAAGTTTTCGGATGCGACTCAAAGTCAGGCATTTGCTCTGGAAGGGGGATGTTCGTCCAGTACAACCGCCGCCTTTGCTGTGGTGATACTCACTTCGAATCAGTTAACCCAGGCACAATTCCTCTTAAGTGCTTCGTAATCTCGAATCTATCTTCCCATTTCGTTGAGGAAACATTCTCGAGCAGAAACCATTTCGGTTTCGCCTCATTCATTACTTTTAGGGTCATAAAAAAATAATCTACTTTTCGGCCCGTGCAATCCATGTTCTTCCGTCATTCTTTACTCAGTCTCATGCTTAGCCAGTTACCATGTATTTTTCCCGTGTCATTTTGCCCAGCTTATGTGTGTCATCCTCATTCGTCATTTCTCGTATCCAGACTTTAAAATGCGCGTTACTCAGTCCTCTTATTCACATCTTTCTTCTGGCTTCTTGCCAGGTTTCTCTCATACTCCTGCAAAACCCATTATACCCGTATCTCTTTTCTGGCGTCTTGCCAGACTTTTCCTTAGGTCTATGCAAAGTCAATTTCACATATCTTTCCTTTCTGAACATCCTGTCAGGCCTTCTCTCAAGCCCATGCTAGATCAAATACTCATTCATTTATCTCCTGGACATCTCGCCAGGTCTCTTCTCAAGCTCATGCGGAGTCATTCACACATCTTTTCCTCAGCTGGACACCTTGCCAGACTTTTTCTCAAGCTCATGCAACGTCAATTTCTCACCCGTTTCTCTTCTGGACATCTTGCCAGGCCTTTTCTCAAGCTCATTCAACGCTGATTATTCATCCGTTTCTCTTTTGGACATCTTGCCAGGTCTTTTCTCAAGCCTGCGCAAAGTCAATTACCCATCCATCCTTACGGTCATGGTATCCTTCTCTTTTGCACGCTTTTTCTTTGATAGATGACACACCTTCCCTCCACTCAAAATGCGATGTCCCCATCGCACGACTAGTTTTCACTCGGAGGTACGCAGACCTTGACCCACCTACTGAGTAGACGAATGCCGGCCAATCAACCCCAAAAAGGAAGGGTGATCAGTCCTCCCCCTGCTGATAACTCACCTCATCCCCTATTCCAGTCCGACCTTTTGCTGCTTACGAGACGGGCGTCATCACTGAGGTACCACCCCACATCTGGAAGGTAGGTCCAGTCCAAGTCTCCCAGGACCCCATCTTGCTGTAAGTGCCTTCTCGCGAATCGTTCCTCCCGAGCGGTGTTTTCTTGGATCCGGCCTCTTCTTTTCAAGAGAGTTGGGGCTCTCTATTAGTCTGCGAGTGCAGTTACGAAGACCTCGCGGTTAGTCCCGGAACGGTTGTAATGATCCGGCAGGGCGGTGTCACTTGCCCTGTGGTGGTTGCGGCTTCCACCCGGTACCACGCCCGATTCCTCCCTAAGGATAGTGCTGCTCAACTTAATACGAGCAGCCTTGGTCCATTCCAAACGGTCGGGCCGCCCCTCTACGGTATGGCGTGTGGTTGGGGAGAAAGAATGAGACTTAGGAAAAAGAATGACCCTCTCGCCCGTTTGGCACCACGCCCTTCACGTTTAGGTTTCAAGATGAGGCGCAGTTTGAACTCCCCGACTAGAGCTCGTTGTCGGGGTTAGTTCCGGACGGCCAGCATCAATCAAAGAGAGAGGTGCTTTGGTCCTTCAACCCTTATTCCTTCTTATCAGGAGCAGGTCACGCTGAGACTTTTCCCTTAACGGGTAGAGGTCTTGGGGTTGCGATGCAGACATTGCTATCCCCCTTATGTTGAGACCCGAGACTAGAAAAAAAAGGAAAGTTCAATTTCTTGCTATTACCATGGTCGGCCCGATGACCTTACATCAAGTTGCCTAGGGTCCTCTGGCTATGCAATGCAATATTCAATCTTCAAACACTCAATCCCATGCTATTTCCAAGGTTGATTCTCATGGCTTGTCCGACAGCCTCTCATCAACAAGGCCACCCACATGGCTGGTGTGGCGGTCATTCTCTTAATAGTCATTTCTCAAGACTGACCCTTCCGCCCATTCAATCCTCAATTCTCTCATTCCTCAACACCCAATCTCTGTGATCGTCCCAACGGTTTCTGCCCTTCTTGGCTTTAGGGTTCCGCCTTCTTTATCATGTCCTTCTTATTCACCTCTTTTTTCCGCCCCCTTGGCTATTTCAGCGGCCGACCCACTGACCTTTTCCATCTCTTTCATCCATCCATTGGCTATTTCAATGACCGACCCACCGGCCTTTTTCATCTCTTATTGCTCATTCCAACAAATTCTCAATCAACCTTTCTCAATCAACCTTTCTCAATCCAATATGCAGGGAACCCCAATGCCTATTTCACAAGGAATGACCCTTGTTAGGGGCCATTCTCGAACAACCTGGTTAGGGTCGTTCTTATCCATTCTCAAGTCGAACAGCCTGGTTAGGGCCATTCCTCTCCATTCTCAAGTCGAACAGCCTGGTTAGGGCCATTCTTTTCCATTCTCAAGTCGAACCTGCTGGTTAGGGCCATTCCTTTTCCATTCTCAAGTCGAATAGCCTGGTTAGGGTCATTCCTTCCCATTCTCAATGTGAGTGCTCGAGGGGGTGGGCCTCGAGGTTACGGATCCCATTTCTGTCTTGGAGGTTAGAAGGTGGTCATCTCATCTCAATTTTGTTTTGCCTTCTGTTCCCTTTCTTCCATTTCTCACAGTAATGTACTATCCATTTCATTTCTCACAGTAATATACTATCCATGCATACATCCGACTTAGCGTCTAGCACTTCAAGTTGGGGCTCGCAACCCCAAGCAGCACTAGCTCACCCGGCCGTTCAACCATAGCAAGAGACAGGGGCTCCCCTTCCATTTTCACTCTTCCTGATCACTCAGGTTTTAACTATTCTCAGACTCCTTCATGACTTAGTTGGATTAGGCTTCTAGGGAAGGATTGTTCTTCACGCCCCTTAACCCATAGGTTCCCTAACCTCTCTTGACCAACATTCAATGACATGCTTTGCTCGTCAATTCGTACTCAAAATTTCTTTGCTAAAAAAAACACAATCCTCATTCCATCCAAATTTCACAATACACCCTTCCCAACTGGTTTCATCTCATGCCCCATGTCCTTGTCTTGTGTACCCACTTTCAAAGGTAGCTCATCCAAAAGTAGCCTCAATACGCTATCTTCTAATGTTATCACGACACAGTCTTAGCTGACCCTTCCATTACTCATTCTTTGCAAACTTACTCGTACTATACACATTCTGCTCCAATGTTTTGCAATTTAGAAATAAAACCAAGATTCTTGCCCAACACTCAATCAACATCTAATGCGTATTGCTGTCCTGTGCCTCGACTTGCTCGTTTCTTGGTCCACCCTGTTCCTCAGCTGGCTGTCTAACCCCCAGGCCGAAGGTCTCGATTTCTCTCCTTATCCTTACAATTTTCCGTAACTCTGCCTCGCTAAAAAAATCCAGTGGTGTGATTTCCACCCCTGCCTTTGCGAGTTCCCGAGTCTTGACAATCCATTCGTGCCTGATCACATTGCTCCACTGCTGAAACCAATGACTGGGTGTTGGTCCAAACTCGTCCTCCCATTTGAAAGCCCCGTCGCCCGGCTGGTGCATCGTAGGCTGCCCCTCTTCCCTAGGTCTCGAGATCTCATCCCTCTCATCCCCGCTGCTGATTTCTACGACTTCTCGTACATCCTCCTCCTCGTCCTCCTCGCCTTCTGTCTGTATGCGGCTATACCCACCTGCAAGGTTCTTCGGATCGTAGGTAAAAGAAATCTCTGTCCCCGTCCCATACCCCTCACTACTGTCGTGGCCGCTTTGTCCTTCAAGCGGGCTTTCCCTTCTTTCCTCACCCTCCTCATGTTCGCCGCACATGTCTTGTCCCCTCTCGCTTTCCCCATGCCAAGTCTCACGTCGCTTGCCCCTGTTGACTCCTTCCTCGTCAGAGACTTGAATCTTATCTCCCACCTCTGCATGGCCTCCTTCTTCCACTTCTGTCTTTTCCTTCCCTCCCTCACTCTCAGACGAGATTTTTATACCTTCTCCCTTGCAGAGGGGTGAGGGTTTCCTACACAAGCATTTCCTTCCACCCCCGCCTAGCACTGACCCACCCATGAGTCCTATGTACAACTTTCTCTTCGTCGCCTTCCTCCCTTGGCTTGGTCCGGTTTCCCCCCCTCCGGTAGGCCTGTTGATCGCCCCGCTGTCGTTCTCGTTGCCGAATTCCATTCTCTTGTCTTTTCTCATTTTTCTCCTAGGTCCTGTATAACAAAACAACATCCGCAATGCCCCGCATACATACATTCCCCCCAGTCCGGTAGACAACTTCCTTTTCCCAAAAATGCTCCCAGTATCCTTCGCATCATGCCTCTTTTATACATTTCCCTCCCTTATGCAAAAACGTCGTTTGTGAAGATCCCATTTTTTCCGTCAAAAACTATGGTACAATGCCCCAAACATCCCTTCCCGTCGTCGCACAAGCCTGATATTGCAAACCCCCAAGTCATGCTGCCTTTCAACCTCATTCAGTCCAAGCCATTGCCCCAGTCCCCAAAAAATGACAATCCCATGGACATGGTCAGAGACACACCGTAGTGTGGGCAAGGTTGTGGTCAGTCTTTAGCTTGTGGCTCCTCAGTTTCCTTATCTTCGGCCTCCTAGAGCCATTATTTGACTAGGTCCCGACTTAGAAACCTTACCAATCGTTGCCCCGGGAAGGGCCCTTTCAATCCAGTTCCATCCAAATTTTCCAGTTCGAAGGTGTTCAGTCCCACCCGCTTGGCGACCCGGTAGGGGCCTTTGAACCTTCTTCCCAGCTGTCCCGACCAAGTACTTTCTAGTGCCGAGTTCCTTAGCAATATCATCTCTCCCACTTGAAGTGGCTCCTTTCTTACATTCTTAACCTGGTCCCACCTTGCTTTGTCTCTCATTCTACTGTCTAGTACACGGTTGGCGATGTCTTCCATGGCCTCATCGTTCTTAAGGATCTGTTGACATCTTGCCTCGATTAATTATTCAGTATTCATTTGCGGATCATCATCTAATCTATTCCAGGTAGGTACCAAGGCTTTCACAGGAAAGTCGATCTCTCTTCCGTACCCAAGTTCTGCCGGAATACATCCTGTTGTCCTTTTAGGGGTCGTATTCTCCGCAAAGACAGCCTGCTTAAGATACCTAGGCCAGTTCCCCGAATGGTCCGCTGCGAGTTTCGCAATCGTGTTCTTCAAGGTTTGGTGCCCCCCTCCCTCAGGTGCATTGGCCTCAGGGTGATACGGCTCGATGAGTTTGATCGGTACGCAGAGTCTCTTAAGCATCCCCAATACTTTTTGGTTCACAAACTCCATCTCATTGTCTGCTATAAACCCCCTAACGAAAGGATACCTCAAATAGAAGTCTTTTATCTAGTCCGCCACACTCCTCCCTGTCTTTTTCTTGAGGACGACCGCCTCCACGAACCCACTAAAGTTGTCTCCCGCATCCAGGATATACCTATACCCATCCGTTGATACAGGCATGACCGCAAGGTTGATGTAGACCAGATGTCCCGGCCCTAGCACCCGCATTGGTCTAAGCGGCTCGAAGACCCGCACAAAGTTTCGTTCTTGGCAAATAAGGCAAGTCTGGCAGTATATGGCGACCATGCCTGCCATGCCTGGCCAATAATAGAGTGGCGTCATCTTTGCAAGCGTTCCTTTGGACGACCGATGACCTCCAACCAACCCATCATGCATTGCCCAAATAACATCTACTTGCCTAGATCTTCCGCACATAACCCTTCTGGGCATAACACCTTCCTCCCTTCAAAACAAATGCCCGCCCCTTAGGACGTACCTTTCACCTTCTTCCCTTGCTTTAATACTGACTTCCGTAGGTTGTTTGTTTCCTATCAATAACAGCCCGATCTCCCGAAAGAGCCCTTTGTATGATTGGACATAGAAAAACTCCTCTCCTTCCCTGCCCCCATCCTTTCCTTCCTGCATCTGATTTACCACCCATTGCAACTCTTTCCTTTCCCAAGATTCCACTAAGCTCATCACTGCTTCCCAGCCTCCCTCGACCGCCATTGTTATTAGCTCCTTTTTCGGTCCTACTATCGCTCCCCATGAATCCTTTTATTATCTGCGTCCTCGAGTGGTGACTGGTCCTTCTCTAAGTTCTGCTACTACGACAAGTGCCCCCTTCTCCAAAGTCTGGATCAATAGTTCTGCCGACGCGCATCCTTCGCTCATCCTTTCGTTATCCACCGCAAGAGTTCCTCCTTCGTATTCGAGGAACGCGTCTATGGGCTCCGCATCCTCCACCCCTTCGGGAGTGATGCAGACCCGGCTCAGCCCATCAGCCTTCTTCCTAATTCCCACAATCCGTTCGATCTTATAATTTAACTGCCAGATGAGTATTACCCATCTCCCTACCGTCGGATCTATAGGCCTATAATTCCTTAAGGCCCCTGCAACATTCGTCGGATCGATCCTGAGGATGAACCGCCTCCCAAATAGGTAGGCCTGAAAGGTTTTAAGACAGTGCAAGATGGCTAGGACCTCCTTCCTGATCTGTGAGTACCGCCGCTCTGCAGAGTTCAGGGTTCTACTCTCAAACCTAATTGACCTTTCTTTTCCTCCCTCATCCCTTTGAATCAACACCCCTCCTATGACCAAAAGTCCTCCATCCGTCTCTAGGATGAAGGGTCGTCCCACTTCGTTATTAAAACAAGGCGCGGACAGAGCGACTGTCTCAGATGTCAATATGTCCTTGAGCCTTTGGACAACTCCTTTTCGCTCCTCCGTCCAATCCATGGTTCCTTCTTCCCTGATCATAGCCCGGATAGGCTCAACAATCTTGGCAAAGTTCTTAATGAAGATCCTCCAAAAGCCGACTACGCCTAGGAATGCCCTTACCTCCGTCGTCGTGCGTAGTGGTGTCGGCCACTGTAATATCTTGTCGGTCTATGCCGGATCCGGCTTCCTGCCGTAAGCACCGTTACGAAATCCTAGTATAGTTACTTCCAGTACTGCTAGGATACTCTTTGGTCTACTAGCCGTAATGTTGTATACTAGGAACCGGCGGAGTAAGTCCTTGATGTCCTGCAGGTGGTCCCACACAAAACGTCGGATCCCTAGCCAGACTTCCGTCTCGTCCTTCTCCTGCGCGCCTTTGATCGGATTGTCATCGATGTAAGACTCACATTTTTCTGAGAACATGTCCCCGACCACGGCGAGCATCCTGCGTTGTGCTTCGGGCACCGCGTTTGTGAATCCCATAGGGGTCACTTGCATCTGTAGTTGGCCTACGGGGGTGTGCATAACGGTGTATGGCCTGTTCCGAACATCCAACGAAAACTGGTCGTACCCTGAGTACAGGTCTATCAGGGAGTAAATGCTCTGACCGGCGTGCGATTCTGCTAATAAGTCAGCCTGAGGTAGCGAGCCAGCATCCCGGATGGTTACCGCATTCAACTTTTGCAGGTCCTGAATCCACCTTAGTGTCTTGTTAGGCTTCCGAAAGACGAACCACCGATTTGCATATGGCGATGCCGTAGGCTCCTCAACAAAGGAGTCCATCTTTGCTCGGAGGAGGTCTGTTACTTCTCCTGCTATCCCAAATTCATAGGATGGACTCTTGTCAATCGAGCACTCATGTTCTACCGTGTGGATTCTGGCCGGAGGGATCAGCTTCGTATCCAGTCGTCCCTTCTGGTGATCACTAAAGGCAAATGTCAGGTGAAACTTCTGGCAGGTCCTTTTGATCAGGCGGGTTTCTTCTTCCGTTAAGAACCCGTCTATCCCTATCTTCATTGTGTCAGCTACCTCATCTGGTATCCGATGTCCCTCCGTCACCCTTCTTTCTCGGATCACCCGAAGGACCTCTTCCTCCTTCTCCATAGCCTCTTCCTTTGATGTCTCTAGCAGGATCGAGACCGGTTTTGCTTTCTTCCCTACCGGCTTGTACTTTCGAACACTTCCTTCCGGGATCTTTCTCCTAAAAAATGAACAGTTGGAATCGCCCCCGTCGCCTCTACGACTCGTGGTTGAATACTAACTAGTTTCCCATTCAGGCAATATCCCTTTTGCACCTCTGTTTCGAACTTGGCCAAGGCAGCCGAATCCACTCCTACCTTGTGGTATCTGAGGGCTTTGATGAGTTGTAATAGATCGGGGATCTCGAGTCCGATTTCTGGCACGTCTATGCGTACTTCTTTCCGTTTGGGCAGGCTAGCACCAAGTTCGACCTCTGACTCCTTTTCCGCTACCATAACACCTAGGACTTCGTCCTCCTGCCTCCTCTTCTTCTGGGGCAGGCCCATTTTGATCCAGTGCTTCTTGTTGAATGCTTCCTCTATCATGATTTCTACCCTTTCTCTCATAGCCTCCATCCGTGCGAAAGCCCCTCTTCGCGTGCTATCCTCGAACGACGACGACCATGTTGCCAATTTTCCCTTCGGGGGGTCTCCTCCCGTTCCAAGGAGTCGGAGGAGCTCTCTCTGGCCAGTCACTGGGTCCTCTATGTCTACCATGTATGAGACATCGTGCAAGTGCATGCCTATCATCTCCACGTTCGCGCACCACGGTCTCCCGAGGATTATGTCGTGGTCCATTTCCTCCATTACGGTCATCCGATGAAACGACAAGATCGATTCCCTGACTCCTGCCTTCACAGCACACTTCGTGACGTACCCAGCGAACGGGATTTCCCCGCCAGCTCCCCGGATGCTCCCTGTTACTTCTTTGTTTACCGTACATGCCGTGATCGTTGCGAAATCTCGTCTAATGAGAGTGATTTCTGCTCCCCCGTCTACTAACGCGTCGGTATGATGAGTTCCGATCTAGATTTTCAGTTTCCCTACAGGCAGTGCATGAAAGCTAAGCTTTGTCCCGGGTGGTGATCTCATGACTCCGCCGCCCTCTCGGTCGGGCAAGCTCAAACGAATGTCTGCAAAGACTTTCTCGAGATCCTCCAAGTCCCCGTGTCTCCTCTGAACGTTAGCCACTTCTTGTGGAGCTTCCTCCTCCCTCTCCCCTTCTGGTAATTCGGGGTTCTCGCCTATTTCTACTCGCCGCCGAGTCAACAGTTGTCTAAGCCCTTTGAGCAACCTAGGGCTAGCTTGCAGCATGGTCTGAAAAGACACTGCCACCATGGTCCCTAGTAACTTGCTAATAGTGTCGTCGAGCTAAGGCATGGTCAAGATCGGAATTTGATATCGAAACTTCTTCTTAGCAGCAGTAACTTTGTCCGCAGGCTCCTCTTTCCTAGGCTTCCCATTGACTTTCTCTGGTTCCTCGGCCTCGGGCTCTGCCTAGGGCTCGGAGCTTCCGGCGACCTCCTCTATAATGGTGTCACGGTTAATCCTTCTCCCAACCGTTCCTAGTCGAGTTGTGGCGTTCACCCTATCAAGTCCGTCGTTTTTCAAAATAGCCTGCAGCACGCGGCCCCGCAGTTGATCCCAAACGATATCGACCACCGGCTCAGCTTCTACGACCGCTATCTCTAACTCATTGAGCATGATAACGGCTCGTGGCATTCCCCCTGGTGAGTTCCAATTGACCCGCTCTCCCTGTGGTCCGAATATCTCTCCCTTTAACGACCTGGTACATCTCCTTTTTAGGATATCATGGTTGAGCTTTGGACACGCGCGCACATAATGTCCCATCGCAGTACAGTACTTGCATTGCTCGTTACCAGGATCTCTCCGTCTGAATCCCCAGTTGGCTACACCTGGCGGAACCACAACTTCCTAGGGAGGGAGGGCGGACCGGGGTACTTGCGCATGCATAACCAGTAGCGCGCCCTCCATCCTTTCAATCTTATTGTCGACCCCGTGCACCCGCTCATGTAGACTTCCAATCCCCTTCTTTACCTTGTTGCATGTTCTACCGGTTAGATCTATGACCTCCCCTTCCTTAAGCAAGGCCGATGTCTCCGTCACTACCGTATTTTCAGCCAGATCCGTTACCGTATTGAAATCAACGTCCCTAGTGTTTACAAATTTGCTCGTTTGTTGGTAAGCTGACAGAATCTTGTCCTTGTCGAACTCGGAGAACTGTCTGAGGAAGTACTTACTCATTATTCGGTCCGTAACCCCGGGGATTCTTAGTGCTACCAAAGTAAACTCCCGTAGGAAGTCATTGTACGTTGCGAAGTTCTTCCTCTGGACTGCCGCTAAATCGGCCTCCGTTGCCATCTTCTCTGCTGCCAGATATTTTCTCATCATCACATCTCRGGTTTSTTTCCAGGACYSGCTCGCGGCCACAATGGCCATTATGTCCCACCCTAGGCTCAAAGACACATGCTGCCCCAGGTGGTCCATCTTCTCTTCTTCGGTCCATTTCAACAACACAGCCAGATTCTCGTAATCTATCAGGAATTCCGTGATGTTCGCCCCATCAAACGTCAACTTTTTCTTAGCATCCGCTAGGTAGCCTTGATTTTTGTTTAGTGCTCGCGCGAGGGACGACACTATCTTCTTAAGGCCACCCTCGGAGCTGCTGGCCTCGCCTGCCATACTGTTATCCGGACCTTCCTTGCCGGCCTTCTGTCCCTTCCTGGTTTTCATAGTTCCTTCCGGGTCAAACCATCCCAACACTCTTTCTCTAAGGTTCCAAAGTCCTTCGCATCCTCGTGCTACTGCTGGCGGGGACGGCAGGCGGCTAGCCCCACTATCCATGGCTGGCAGAGTCGTAGCCTTTTCTGCTTCCATCCTCGGAGAGTTCTCTCTCTCTTTCCTTCTCTTGCTCGGCGTTTCCCCACGGTCACTACCTTTATCCCCTTGTCCAGTCCCACCTCGGTTAGCTTTCCTTTCGTCCCGGGGTTCCTCCTGCACAGGGCCTTCTTCGTTCCCAGTCATCATTTCCTCAATCAATCTTGCCTTGTATTCCGCGGTCCTCTTTTCTATCTCGGCTAGTTTGCGCCTCGCATTCGTGACCCTTACTTTCTTAGACATGGCTCCTTCCGAGTTTCGGAACCTTGTCCTATCCTTATTTCTGCCCTCCTTGGTCTCCTGAGTCCCTTGCCTGCTTCCCCCGGCTTTCCCCGAGCTTTCTCCTGTGGAGATTTCCTTCCGGTTCCCTTTGGTACCATCCGGATTTATCGATTCTCTGTCCTTCTGCCCCCCTTCACTTTGTGCGGCACTGCCTCCTAAGCCTGATTCTCCTTCACTCTTACGGTTATCTGTCTCTTCCTCGGTTGCCATTTTGCCTAGTTCTGCATAAGCCAAAGAATTCACAGGACACACGCAACGCGAGGCATTTAGGTTCCCTAGGATCCCGACTCTGTTAGCTTATCTTTTATAGCCCTTTTCCTATCTCCGTTTCCTGATTGCCTTTCCCTAAGGAGGAGCCACGACTGGCCCTGCCGCTCAGCCGAGCTATGAGCGTGACTTGGCTTCCTTTATCACAAGCTCCCTTGTCCCGTCGGGCCGATGCGGGGGAGTCTGGGTTAGGCATTCTGCTAGGGAAAGTCTTCCCAAGCAGTGTTTCCTATTTTTGACCTTCGGGGTTATGGTCAATCATTAGGAGTCTACCCCCTTCTTTGTTTTTCTAGTGGGTTTTGGCCATCCGGGTCCGAGGCCCCTCTCTTATTCCCATCGGCGAACTTCCGTACGCAGCGAACTATACTTGACCTGCCCTATTGACCCGCCTGTGGATGCTAGTCCCGCTCTCGCCCTCGCGGCTCTTCTGGTTCGGTCGGCTCCTCGAATAGTTCAGCCACCTCTGCTAAATAACTCTCTCCTATCTCAATTTCCCTCTTGATTATGCGTTCGCATCCCGCCCAGTCTAGCCGTGACGCCCTAAACATCAGGATGTGGATGACTTCCAGCAACTCGTGGGCCCTGTTTCCCCAGAACGGCCCATGCTCCATAGCGACATCGTAGAACATCCCAATAGTAGGGGAGGGAAAGCGGCCTGCCCAGACTATCGCTGAGTCTGCCAGCTCCCATGCCCTCGCGAGGCTTCCGAAGACGAGGTCTATCATAAAACGGGGCACTCGGCATCTCAGCGGTGTGGTCGGTGCCCTGAACTCCCTCCAACCTCCCATTTCCACCCGGGTAAGTAAGCCCACGTTCCTTCTACCCCTGACTGATTGTCCTATCTGGGTAAACGTCCGGGCGGCCCTTCGAAAGACCGCTGCCAACTCATGACCTTGTGCTATCTCTACCCCCAACGAGTGCCAGCAGATCTCAGGCAGATACATGGTCCCCGTAACTTCCAGATTGGAATACAGATCGTCCCCGGGTTCTCGATTGAGTCTCATCCCTGTCCACCGACATTCTACCAACATGAAGGCGGCGTCCCGTCCCAAAGTCACGGCCCGCCATTCTATGTCGAATCCCCGATAGGTAGAACTCGACGGGAGGGATACCTCCCATCGTCCACCGTTATTCCAAGGCGGTCCGGGGTACCGGGGCTGGCGTTCCATTCGCACATGGGGCTGGCGTTCCATTCGCTCACGTTTTGCTGCCATCGTTGCCTTGGTGATTCCCTGCATAGTCCACATAGAAAGGGTTATAACCAATCCCCAGAAACCGCCCACCTACTGCCTTCCTTGTCCTTCGTGTTTTCATTCCTCCTTTCTAGTCCCAACTATCCCTCCATACCCCTGGGAGTAGTAGCCCCCTCTGGCAGCTCGTACATCCGGTAGAGATCATCTACGTAGGTCGCGCCCCGACCTACCTCCTGTCGGATGACTCTCCACATGGCCTCATCACTTATTTGTGGGACTCCCGGCCTAGTATTTACTACTGCTCGTAGAATGCAAAGCACCTCGCGCCCCTGTTCGTCCCCGAAAGGCCCCGTCTCTAGGAAGGCCCGATAGTATTCTCGATACATTAATGCTTCGTCAAAATTTAACCTAGTTACGACAGTCACCGCCTACTCCACTCGTTCTATGCCTCTCATTCGTCTTAGCAGGAAGGGTGGTAGACTCATTCGTACGACCTCATTGGGCAGCTCGAAGATCCCTGCTGCGGCAACTCTTACATCGACCGTTACGTCGTCTCGTTCTGGGTCTGCGAACTCAAATCCCTTTCGCCAAGTTACTTGCCATGCTCCTTCGAACATTCGTACGGGGTCATCCCCGGAAGCCAAGGCAATCCCAAAGGCCCGCCATCCCTCTTCCGACAGGTGTAAGGATCCTGTCGCATGTACACGCCCTGGGAGGTTCAAATTTACGCCCCCGAACTCCCCTCTCGTACACCACTCCAATTCTATTACTAGGTACACCGTATCTTCCACCAACTCTACCCCCACCCAGTCCATTACCGGATTGCTTACCGCATTTCTTGCCGGCAGGCTTATTTCGACCCTGCCTTCCGATGCTCTTGGTGGCAGGATCTCACGAGGTCTATCCCCCAAGAAAGTCATTCGCCGGACCATCTTGAAATGCCGCCTTTCCTGCTTCCTTAGCCCGATTGTTGCACCCATTGAGATTCCATGCCTTTCGTGTTTTAGTCTTTCGGTCCTCCCTACTTATCGTTCACTGGTTCTTGCCACTATCCCTGCCTCATACGCATACAATTCTACCCCCCCCTTTTTGTTTCGACCCTCACGCACCTTCTACGGCCTAATGTACACGCCCCCCTTTTCTTATGTTACACCTCAATTCACAGGTATCGTTCATACTCAGGCCTTTTCGCGGTATTCGATCCCTCGGCCTTATTTAGTCGAACCACAACACCTGAAATAGTTTAAAGACATCGTCTACGTAGGAGGGTGCGGTCGCCGCCTCCCGACTAACTATGGCGTCCCAAAACTCCGCCTCTACCTCTAGGCGGTCATACCTGCCTATTCTTAGGACGATGATGATTTCCTTGGCTTTATCTCCGTAGAAGGGCCCATATTTCAATGAGAGCCTATAAAACTCCTCAGTCAGCCAGACACACTCTATATGCACCTTTCTCATGGAGTCGGCTACTTCTAAAATGTGCTTAAACCCCCCAAACCATTCGACTATGAACTCCGGTACCCAAACCGTTATTCGTAGACTTGGAGGCTTAAGTTCCTTCCATCCTCCCATCACAACTCTGCTACTAACTTCGTCCCATCCCTCGTTGGCGAACCTCTTGCCTTCTTTTCGGGTTCGGGCCTCTACGTCCCCTAGAAGCCACTTGGGGTCCTTTCCCATTGCTAACATAGTGCAAAACAGGTGCTACCCATCCGCGGAAAGAACAATCATTCCGAATGACTCTACCTTGCCTTCTGCTATATCATCCCAACCTTCCTCTTCCCTTATCGGGTTCCAAATCCGCTCTATCCGTACATATGACAAGTCCCGGGCAACCTCAAACCTAATCCAGTCGCACGTGGTCCCCCTCCATCCGTTTGCTGTTGCTATAGGCATTTTATTCCTCCTCTTACTCGCCGTGGTTCCCAACCTTTGAAGGTGTATTCCATCATCCTCTCTTCTCTAGTCATCTTTCCCCTTCCTGCACAATACCAGGTCACCCATCCTTCCTAAGTTAAGTTATTCCACCCCTCTTAGAAGTCCCAGTCCTCTATCTCTTCATCTTTGTCTTCATCACTGAAGTCCTCCTCCTCGCTGTACAACAACCCTCTTACCCCATCCAGAAACGTCTCCCCAATTGCCACATTCTTGTAGACTATACCCCAATGCACAAAGCTAGGGACAAAGATATTATCTATGCTAAGTCAGTGTAGTATCTCGGCCAGCTCGTCCGCCCAGTTCCCTTCGAACGACCCCATCTCTACCGATAACCGAAAGAAATTTTGCCTAGCGCATTGGTATAGCTCGAGGTTTGTCATAGACTGGCATATCCGTACTAGCCTGCTCCGAGTTCCGAAAACCGCATCCACTAAGAAAGGGGGCAGCACACATCACATGGTTCTTACGGGTCGCCTCATGCTTCTTCTATCCCCAAGTTCCACCTGTACGTCTATCCTTTCTGTTTCCATTTCCCTCCGCTGACATGCAGCCCACACAACCTCTGCTTCTGCCTTCCTAAACAATTTGTCCGGTGTATTTCTGAGTGCTAACTCTATGATCATAGCATTTTTCCCACCTTGCGACAAGTAGACTCACCCCCGGGCTTCCACTGTCCCTCGGAATTCCAAATCCATTAAAATTGGTGAAAACCTCGTCAAGCTGACATTAGTCCATACTGTTTCTATCCAAAGGAAATCGTCCTCCCCTTCCAGCATTGCCGTTTGATACGCTGGTTCCAGGTCCGTCCACGTCCCATCTTCCGGGAGGACGATCGATACCCCATCCTTTACATCTACTGGCATTTCCGGGCCGCTAGTATAGATCGGGGAAGGCAACCATCGCACCATCTTGTTTTCAGCACCCGACCTCTGTTTTCATAAAAAGAGCATCAACCGGTCCTTTTGGGTCAGGTCAACCTTTGCCCTAGATGAGAATTATTTCAGACCCCTCATCAAGGTCTCCCTACTTTACCTCCCCATTCTTAAGTACCTCCTTCTCATAATTCCCTCGGCCGGCCATCCATTTGCCCATATTTTTTCTCTTGGTTCCATTCCAATTGACCTCTATCCTCCTTCCTTCCTATCATCTCTCACTCGTGTGGACTTAGATGGGGGGGGGATAGAATTAGAAATATGTCCCGTCCAACAGTCCAAGCTCAATCAATTTTTTACAGAGGGGGAACACATAAAAAAAATCAGGTAACCTCACATACGGGTCGGTCATCTCCTCACCGGCCATCCCAACATGGTCTCTCCGCTGCCACTATCGGTAGAGTTTTATCCCATACCTCAAGCGCAACTCAACCGTCGCGAGTGCGGTACCCAGGTCTCGGCAAGGCATTCACCCTTTCCTCCTTACCTAGAATACCCCATCACGTCTTGCCGCTTCGCACATCCATACCGACACCGAGGGTTACCTCGAGTGCCTAAATACAGGGACAAAGTCAGCCGTCCAGGCATTCACTTCCATCGGTCCGACAAGAATCAACCTTTCCCAAAACCATGCTACGAGAAGCTACTAATCGCCTCCGAGGCTCCGTTTTTGTCCGCATGAAGTGGTACTCCCTCCGCCAGCCAACAGGCTAAGCCCCGCCTGAGAAGATTTCACACCCCGTCCGGCAGATCATCGAGCCGAAGCCCGTCACCGCTCGAACAAGAATGCTAATAATCAACGGACGTGACAAACTCCCGTCCGACAGCTCAGTGGCCTGACCTCCACCTATGAACACACGGCAGCCTAGAAAAGAGAACGACGTTTTGCAACCCGCACTGGCCGGTGCAGACCAATCCTTTCCTTCCGAAAGGCAGGA